CACTCCAGGGGGTGACCCCCATCCCTGCCAGGAGGCAACCAGGTCCCTGTGGCATCACAGTGGCCCTTGGCCACCACACGGTGACATCGTGGCCGGCACTGGGGACCACTAGAAGGAAAGGCCACTGGGGTCCCCTCACCTGCAGCCACATCTGGGCACCCCCAAAACCCCCCAGGCACTGCCCACCTCAGGCAGGGACACCTGGGACAGTCTTTGTCTTGGGGACAAACTGGTGGCCCCCTGGGCAGGTTGGGGACATGTTCCCCCATGTGTCAGGGGGGCTCTGTGTGCTGGGGGTGGCAGGGGGAGTGTCCCCAGGTAGGGGACATTAATGTCCCCCTGTACAGGTTGGGCACGCATTCCCCTCATGTTTTGGGGGGCTCAGGGTGCTGAGGGTGGCAGAGGGAGTGTCCCCAGGTAGACGACATTAATGTCCCCCTGAACAAGTTGGAGACATGTCCCCTCATGTGTCAAGGGGCTTGATGTGCTGGGGAGCGGTACAGGGAGTCCCCAAATAGGGGACATCAGTGTTCCCCTGGACAGGTTGGGGACATCAGTGTCCCCCTGGACAAACTGAGGACATGTCCCCCCATGTTTTGAGGGGATCAGCATGCTGGGGGTGGCAGAGGGAGTGTCCCCAAGTAGGGGACATCCATGTCCCCCTGGACAGGTTGGGGACATGTTCCCCCACGTGTCAGTGGGTTTGGTGTGCTGGGAGAGAGTCCCCAAATAGGGGACATCGGTGTCCCCTTGGGCATGTCCCCCCATGTCTGGAGGGGCTCAGCATGCTGGGGGTGGCAGAGGGAATGTCCCCAAGCAGGGGACATCAGTGTCCCTCTCAGGGACGCCAAGCCATCTGTGCCTGCTGGAGGGTCCCCACGAGGGACCCCCAGGGATGGGGGAGGCCGTCACAGCCCCCTGGGGCCACGGGAGCCCCCGGGAGGGCACCCACCTGGCAGACCTGGCACCCCCCCCAGCTCACCAGCCCCCTACCCCTCGCTGGGGCTGCCCCCCCTGCCTTGCCCCCTGCCCTGCTGTGCCCCCCGTGCCACGCCGGGCCCCCCACGGGGCCAACGCTCTGCTCTGCTCTGCTCTGCTCTCTCCCTCTCCCCCAGGCCAGTAGCTTCCAAACCCTCCTGCGGCAGCAGGCCCAGCTGGAGGTCCTGGCTAGAAGGGTCACCTTGCTGGAAGCCATCATCTGGCCAGGTAACCACCCCCTGCCCCGCCCCGCATGAGCCCGCAGTGCCCCCGGCATCCCCAGCAGCACCCACGGAGCACGGGGGGCTGGAGCCCCTGGGAGAGGGGCAGGGACAGCTCCGGGAGCAGGGGAGAGTGTGGAGACCCCCCACGGGCTGAGAACCACGGAGAGACTCTTGGATTGAGAGACAACCACAGAGATCCCCTTGGATTGGGAGAGGCAAGGATAGAGGTTCTCTTGGGTTGAGAGGCATCCACAGAGATCCTCTTGGATTGAGAGACAACCATGAGATCCTCTTGGATTGAGAGACAACCATGGAGATCCTCTTGGATTCAGAAAGGCAATGACAGAGATCCTCTTGGATTGACAGACAACCATGGAGATCCTCTTGGATTGAGAGGGGCATCCACGGAGATTCTCTTGGATTGAAAGAGGTATCCATGGAAATCCTCTTGGATTGAAGGGCAACCATGGTGATCCTCTTGGATTAGAGAAGGGACTATGGAGACCCACCTGGATTGAGAGAGGCAACCACAGAGATCCTATTGGACTGAGAGGCAACCGTGGAAATCCTCTTGGATTGAGAAGGGCAATGCTAGAGATCCTCTTGGATTGAGAGGCAACCGTGGAAATCCTCTTGGGCCGAGAAAGCCCCTCAGGACCAAGGGAGTCCAAAGAGACCCTCTTGGGCCAAGGGAGCCCCCCTGGGTCAAGGGAAACCCTCGATCTCCCAAGGTTCAAGGGAGACCGTGGAGCATCTTTCAGTCCAAGGGATTCCTCCAGGATCAAGGGAGACCATGGATGCCCTCTCGGACCGAGAAACACCCATGGAAGTCTTCTTGGACCAGGGGGAACCCTGAAGCTCCCCAAGGTTCAAAAGACACTATGGAGCCCTTCTCAAACCAAGGGAGACCCCTGTGAACCAAGAGAAGTGATTGTGGAGACCCTCTTGGACCAGGGGAGCCCCTGGAACCCCTCTCAAAGCAAGGGAGACCGCGGAGACACTCTTGGACTGAGGGAGCCTCCCTGGAGCCTCCCAAGGTTCAAGGGAGACCATGGAGACACTCTTGGATTGAGAGAGGTGCCCACGGAGACCCTTTTGGGACTAGGAATAAACCTGGATCTCCCCAGGGTTGAAGGGAGTTCCTAGAGAAGGGTCTCCCAAGGGATACCACGGAACCCCTCTCAATCCAAAGGAGACCATGGAGACCCTCTTGAATCAGGGGAAACCCTGGAGCTCCCCAAGGCTCAGAGGAGACCCCGGAGCCCCTCTCAATCCAAAGGGGACCATGGAGACCCTTCTGGACCAGGAGAGACTCTGGAGCCCCCCGAGGCTCAGGGGAGTTCCCGGGGAAGGGTCTCCCAATGGAGCCCCCATCAAGCCATGGGAAATCCAAGGAGAGCCCCCCAAGGTCAAAGGGGACCACAGGGACCCTCTTAGACCGAAGCAGCTCCCAGAGCCCCCCTTGTCCCCAGGGACACCTCAGTGCCACGCCCCTCGTGCCCAGCTGGGGGTTGGTGGGTGCTCCCCACCCTCCCCTCCCTTCCTCTCCCTCTCCCTCCCCTTCCCAGCTGCGCTTTCCCGCGGGGAACCCCGGCTTTTGGGGTGCCAGCCGGGGGTGCCAGGCAGGGCTGCCAGCTGGGGGGGACCCCCGTGTGGGTGTCCCCAGGGGTTGGGGCACTCCCAGGGCAAAGGTGGGGGTGGGGGGGGCATGAACCCCCTTCCTGTGGGGCAACAGATCCTCTCTGGGGGTAGTTTTTGGAGGGGTTTGGTGCCCCGCAGCTGACATCCCTTTCCTTTGCTCTCCTCCCACAGAGCCGGAGCCCGGCTCGGGCAGTGCCCCCCCGGGCACGGCGTCGCCGGGGGTGTCCCGTGGGAAGCGTGGCGGTGCCCACCCTCCCTATCGCATCGTCACCCGCCCCCGAGGGCCCTGAGGAGCCCTGGAGGGGGGACCCCACATCCCCCCCCACCCCCCCGCGCCCGCCGCCGTGCCAGGACGGGCAGGACCCCCCCGGCGTGGGGGGCACCCCAGTGTCCCCCCACTTGGTGCTACCGGTGGCACGGCACCGACCCCCCCC